CTCTCTCTCCCCCTCCCCTGCTCACGCCGTCTCTCTCTCTCTCTCTCTCTCTCTCTCTCTCTCCTAGAAATAAAAAATATATATATATATAAAAAAAGAGGGGCACCTGGGTGGCTCAGTCGGTTGAGTGTCTGACTTAAGTTCAGGTCATGATCTCACGTTCTGTGGGTTCAAGCCCCGCGTCAGGCTCTGTGCTGACAGCTCAGAGCCTGGAGCCTGCTTCAGATTCTGTGTCTCTCTCTCTCTTTCTCTGTCTCTGCCCTTCCCCCACTCATGCTCTGTCTCTCAGAAATGAATAAATGTTAAAAATAAAAAAATTTAAATAAGAGAAAGTTGGGGAGTTCAAGAGGAGAGAAGGGCATGTGCCTTCTCCAGATGCGGTGCGGGATGACGGAATGGGAATTTCTCATCTCCTTAGCTGGGAAGAGGAGAGAAGGAAGGAAAGAAACCGAATAAAATAGTGGCTTGACAGAGGTTGGGAGGAGCCTATGGCGGGTGGATTTGGTATCCTTTCAGAGAAAGGACATGTCAGCACTGATCTTAAAGCGGGGGCTGTAAAAATCCCTTCCAGAGCTGGACCCTTGCATACCTACCTTCTCTTTTCTTTCCATAGTCAGCCAGGGACACACAGGGAAAACCTGCCCTGGGCCACGTGTTGACCCTTTGGGGAATTTCTGTCCACCAGCTTCTCCCCACTGTATGTGCTCAGCCCTTCTCTGTGGTTTACAAATGAAACGATGTCTTATTGCTGCTTGGAGCTTCTGTGTCTTCTTCACATTTATTTTGACGCCCGGCTACTTGGGAAACCATGACTCACTGATCTGTTCGGGCAAATAATTGACCACAGGGGTGGGGGTCGGGGTGGGGGTCCTGCGGTGTGCTAGGTCCGGGGGCGCCCCGGGGAGCCGGGAGCCCCGGCGCCTGCTTACTCGATCTATATTCTGGCCGGGAGAAGGCTCTTGGCTGTGCCCAGCGGGTTTGGTTCCTCATTGCTTACTCGCTCCCCCACCTCCTGCAGAGCCCACGAGGCCCTGAAGACCTAGCCCTCTGGTTTTTCTTTTCTTTTTTTCCTAGAACTGGTTAGCTTGATCTCTTAGCAGCAGTTGACAAGGCACGCTGGCGCCTCCAGGATCCACGGCAGCTTTGGCCTGCGTGACACTCTTCTCTCCTTGGTTCTCCCCGGCTCCACCCCTGGCTCCCTTCTCTTCCCCCCAGAACACGCTCTTTTGTAACAGCTCCTCCTCCTCTCCCCAGAGGCACCCCTAGGGTGCCCAGATCTCAGCTTCCAGCCTCCGCGCTGCCAGGAACCCACACCTGCCGGTCCCCACCCTCCATCATCGCCAGCAAGTGCCTCCAGCTGCGGACTCAGGCCTCTCCCTGCCCACCGGGCTCCCCGCTCGCCCCCAGGTCGGCCTCTGTGCTTCCTCCTTCCTTCCGTTCCCCACATCCAGCCAGCCCCTCCTCCTCGGCCGAGCCCTGCCCCCCCCCGCCCCCATCCGGGGCTCAGGGCCCTCGCCGCTGCTCACAGACTGAGGTCTCTCTTCCTTCGCTTGTCCCCAGATTGCCGCCAGGTCCGTCACTCGGGAACACGGAGCTGACCCTCTGCTCCTGGCTCAGGAACCCTCACCCGCCGCAGGGTCCCGAGGCCTGGCCGGAGGCGTCCCCCCCCCCCCCCCCCCCCCCCCCCCCCCCCCCCCCCCGTTCCCTGGTTCCCTTCTTGCACCGCGTTCTTCAGCCCCGCCGCTGTGCCCAGGGCTTGCACCCCCTCCTCCCACCGTCCCGCTCCCGGGCCTTTGTCCTGTCGTCCTGTCCTCCACACCGCCTTTCTCGTTTTGCACCTCTCTCTGCTCCCTTAAACCACAGCTTGGATGCAGTTCTTTCCCCCGAAGACCTCTGCAGTCCTGGGCTCCGCGTCCTCTCTGCCGCCTTTGGGTTTCCTTAACTGTCTCTGGCTGTTCTGGGTGATAATCCTTGTTGGTGTTTGTCATCCCATCACGTGTCTCCCCCGAGACTGCAGACTCCTGGGCAGGGCCACTGCCCAGGACACCTTCAGTCGCCTCAGGCTCCTGGACCGCCTCTTAGAACATGGCGTGATGGATGTCCGTTGGAGAGAGGATTTAGGAGTCTGCTTGTTTACGAATCAACGCTGTTTAAAATGGCTCGATAAACTACAGCCTTTGGCTGCTTTGGCCCACTGCTTGGCTTTGTGAATAAAGTTTTATTGTAACGTGACCACTCGGCAGTCTGGGCATTCTGCAGTTGAACTGACCTGAAATCGTTAATAACTGACCTTTTACAGAGGTTTGTCTGCTCCGTTGATACCATTGTCCAGACTTCTGAAGGGCACAGTATCAGCTGTGGAAGGAAATTAAGGAAGCAGTGTTTTCTTAAACTCTTTGCCTTTTGCTTTGGCTCTTTGACATATCTATGTGGCTACCATAGTTTGGGCACTGGGATTTTTCTGTTTATTGAAAGTCAAGTGCAATTAATTTTGTTGTAAGAATGATTGGCACTGGGATTTTTCTGTTTACTTTATTGAAAGTCAAGTGCAGTTAATTTTGTTGTAAAAAAAAAAAAAAGTCAAGTTAACTAGATTTGATCTTTGATTTCCTAACACCGGGGTAGAATTTTCTGGGTCGACGTTAGGCCTGCCCAACCTTTATGTCACTAAAATGTTTTTGATATCCTTGGTGAAAATAAAGCGTTAGCAGGGGTCTGCCAGCTGTGTCCCCAGATTTGCCAGCCTTATTTTGGCTGTGGGAGGAAGCAGCATGTTCCAGAGGCTTGCTCTGCTCTGTAGCTTTGCAGATGAGGAAGGCCATGCGTTGCCAGGGTTGAGAGGCGAAGTTTGGCGCATCCCCATGTGAATCCTGTGTTCTTTTTCTTTCCAGAGGGACGCATGGTCATCCAGGATATTCCTGCTGTCACCAGCAGAGGGCACGTGGAGAACACACCTGATCTGGTTTCTGACTCCACCTACTACAGCAGCTTTTACCAGCCGTCTCTGTTCCCTTACTACAACAATCTGTACAACTACCCGCAGTACTCCATGGCCTTGGCCACGGATTCCTCTTCTGGGGATGTGGGAAACCCCCTCGGGGGGTCCCCTGTGAAGAACAGCCTCCGGAGCCTCCCCGCTCCCTACGTGCCTGGTCAGCCGGGAAATCAGTGGCAGGTAAGACGTCACCCAGAGTGACTGCGTGTGTCCAGAACACACGCGCGCACACACAGCGACCAGCTCAGCACACGTTGTGTGCATATGATCCCAGAGGTGTTAAAAAAAAAAAGTTCACTCTGCCATGACGTCGTGTGACCCCAGAGGTCGGCTGCAGGAAGCATGAGGTGTGAAGGAATTGCATGCATTCATTTGCGTTTACTTCTCTCACTTTTCGCTCTCATTTTTGTGAAAATAAGCAGTTGGCCGGAGTCAGACTCCCAAGGGGCTCACCGTGTGAGGTCTCCTCTCCTCTAGCCTTGTCCCCACTTTCTTTGAGCAGCTTAGAAAATGCTGGGTGCAGCCTTCTGGGTGGCTGTGATCTTAGTGCTGCATTTGCACCCTGGAAGGGACAGTGTTACCACCTGTCTGTTCATGTGCAAGCAAGGTAAGAAAAGGAATTAGGTCCCTGTTGTTCTGCGCCAAGTTGGGTGCTCTTTTTAGCTGGGAATGAAGGTCAGCTTTCATGCGCTTAAGTGTGGCAATCCGGAGTCTTAGATTAACATGTGGGGTAAAACAAAGCATTTTGCATTGTCAGGGAAGGGGTGTTTCTCTAGAGCGGTTGGACTCCCTCAGCTTTAACTGTTTCCGCGGATCGAGGCACCAACAGTGTCCACAGGCCGGGTCACCATGCCGCGGGGAGTGTGGACGCGTGAGTGCCTCCATGCCCCACCTCCACGCCTCCGCCAGCCATAGGTGTTATGATTCTGGAAGTGTTGTCATTCGGGGTACATTTACCACGCTCCGGCTTTCTCATCCAGGCTTTGACTCCCAACACAATGGGACATGCGCATCCAGGAGTTTAAGCCAAAACTTTAACCTTCTTAGGCCCACTTTTTAAAAACGTTCGTTGAAATTTCCTTCTGAGCGATTCGATTCCGTTTTGTATTTTTTAAACTGTGGGCGAGTTAATTTTCAAGCTACCCAACTTTTTGGATTCCTTCACTCGCCTAAACGATCAGACTTCTCCAGCCTATTAATATGTCCACTCGAGTCCACTGGCAGACACACTTGTAAGTTTTCTACACGTTTTATTTCACAGTCATACTTGTTAAAAAGAGAGCTTCAAGCATATGGGTGTGAGAACTCCAAGGTAGTGTGAGTGCAAAGGAAATGTAATGATTTATACATCTTCAACTTGGATCCCCACAGGCCTTTCAAAGTGCCAACTGGATTTAATTATTGGGGGCAGGTTTTAGATTGATTTCTGTCCGAGACTCTCCTCTCTAAAAGGAGAAAGAAGGGGCGCTTGGGGGGCTCAGTTGGTTAAGCATCCGACTTCTCAGGTCATGACTCATGGTTTGTGGGTTCGAGCCCCGCATCAGGTTCTGTGCTGACAGCTAGCTCAGAGCCTGGAGCCTGTTTCAGATTCTGTGCCTCCCTCTCTCTTTGACCCTCCCCTGCTCACACGGTCTCTCTCTCCCTCTCTCTCTCTCTCTCTCTCTCTCTCTCTCTCAGAAATAAATAGAAACATTAAAAATTTTTAAAAAATAAATAATGGGGCGCCTGGGAGGCTCAGTTGGTTGGGCATCCGACTTCAGCTCAGGTCATGATCTCGCGGTTCGTGGGTTTGAGCCCTGTGTCGGGCTGTGTGCTGACAGCTCAGAGCCTGGAGCCTGCTTCAGATTCTGTATCTCCCTCTGTCTCTGCTCCTTACCCGCTCATGCTCTCTGTCTCTCAAAAATGAATAAACGTTAAAAATAAATAAATAAAAGGAGAAAGAAGTATCTTGTAGTTCTGAAAACATCAGCACATCCTGCAGGTTTCCAGGAGGTAGGGACTGCCACTGGAGTGTCCTGATTTTCTAGCAACTTCCAGGATTTAAGGGTAAAAGTAGGGCAGACCCGGGAACCTGTTGACTCATGAGAGAAAGGACAAAGACAAAAAAACCGTACACGTTTTCTGACAGAGAGGCAGGCCAAGTCAGACATCCGCCTGGCCAGAATACACGGCGGCCGATATGTGACGCTTGGCACACTAGGGTGTGTTCTTAAACCGCCTGGAAAGCCTGGGAAGGGAATGGCGGAAGTCTTCGTTTTCCTTGGAGGGCTCCCCCAAGTCCACCCTCTTTGGGGACAGCCGGGGAGAGAGGGCTGTCTCAGGTGCTGTGTGCACGGAGAGCGTCCCCGGAGAATAGGTTCCTACGCCCGGAGGAAAAGCCGTGCCCAGACTTTCTTAGTCCTGGGAAACAGGCAGTTTGGTGCCGTTTCTGCGTTCTCTGGCACCGCCGAGGCACCATTTAACCTACGCTTTGTTTCCCTGGAAGGCTGAGCTTAAGACCGTTGATTTACAGTCACTGTTCGTAATATACTCTCATGTAACGAATTATGTTGCAGAAATCGGTCCTTCTCTGTTGTGGTTGATGCGTGTTCCTCTTAGTCATGGCACGAATAATGCCAGCTAGCATGTGCTGGGTGGTGCGTCTTCCTCGCGGCCCTGGGAGGCGGATCGTGTTGTCTGCTTTTTATCCGTGAGGATGTTGAGACCCAGAGGGCTGACTTATCCATGGTCACATAGCCACCCTACAGGAGAGCTGGAGTTTGAATCTGGATTCTACGGTATTTCGCAGCACTGTTTGGTTATCGTTGGGTGGGCGGGCTCTAAACTCCAGGCCACGGAAAGTGCCATCAGCATGAATACCAAGGCCCTCTAGTTCTCTAGGGCTCAGAATTCCTCCCTACGTGTTTGCTTTCCATTGAGGATCTTCTTGGAATTCTTTTCTGATTTTCTTTCCCCACTTGTGGAAGTTGGAAATATGCAGAAGCTTCTGGAACAGTGCTGATGTGTGATTACTTCGGATGGCCGAGAAGGGGGCCTCTGAAGCTTTCCTGAAATACGCTGTCTCGGCAGTTAGTGCTGAATACCCTGCTGTCTGAACGTTGCTTTGGAATCAGTGTGCAAATGACCTGTGAGTGTGATTCTCAGTAAAGCCTATGTAGACACACCTGCAGTGTTCGTGTAACCTGGAAAACACCTCAACAATCGAGATGAGGGGCCTTGACCATGTGGCGTCCCCATCATTCCTGAGTCTGACACTGTGTGATCTCTGGATTAACCTTCTAACCAGATATCCACACAAGCTGGACTTGTAGCCCTGTTGTGATATCCACAAAAGTTACTTCTCTTGGAAATAAACTCGTAAATGCAACACCCGATATAGGTCTGAGCCATCACTTTGCACAATGGCAGCTGACCATCCGTCTCGTGGCCATCAGAGCTGTAGTGGGTCTTATAAAGCTCCAGTTCACTCCCTCCTGCTGCAGGGGAAACTGAGGTCTGGAGCTGAAGGGGTTTGCTCCGCGCCCACAGCGAGTTGACGGCAGAGCCTGGACTGGAAGCCAGGTCTGTTGGTTTAGGGGAACACTGGAAGGAAGGTCCGTATTCACTTCTAACTTGGCATTTAAATGTTCGTGAAGCCCGGAGCAGAGCTCACAATCGCCTCTGCATCTCCCTGTTTTGGTCTGTGAAATGGGCACAGTACCGCCTTGGGAGAATTGTTGCCCGCCTGCGTCTGGCAGCGTGACAGCGGGAGTGAGGTGACTAGTGCCTGTGGACGTTTCTGGGCGCGCCAGCAGGTGCTGTGCCCATGTTCCCTGCAGTCAGTGCTTTTCACTAATCCTTATTTTTTATTTTTATTTATTTATTTATTTATATTATAAAAAATTTTTATTTATTTTTGAGAGACATGAGAGAAACAGAGCACAAGCAAGGGAGAGTCAGAGAGAGAGGGAGATGCAGAATCCGAAGCAGGCACCAGGCTCAGAGCTGTCAGCACAGAGCCCGACGCGGGGCTCGAACTCCCCAACGGTGAGATCATGACCCGAGCCGAAGTCGGACACTTAACTGACTGAGCCACCTGGGCACCCCTATTTTTTAAATCTATCTAATTTTCAGCCTTCTGCTCGTATGCACTTTAGTTAGCTATCTCAGATCCCCTTTGTGACAAGATAGGGTATACGTAAGGGCATGTTTTTGTATTAAAAGACTGACATGTGAGTATGGACCAAGTAGGAAGTATGTGGAATAATTTTTATTACGGTTGGGGATGAACGTGTTCCACTCAGCAGATAGAAAACCGGAAGAAGCACAGACAAAAATCATAATGGTGCAACACGTGTTTACGATGTGTGTGTTACAAAGCAGTATTGGTTAAATGGTGAACACACCTACACATAATACTTAAACTAGTAAGCATTATTGCTCTTAATAAGGAACTAGGTGGCTCACTTTTTTAAAAACTTTTTTTTAATGTTTATTTTTGAGAGAGAGCATGAGCGTGAGAGGGTCAGAGAGAGACACAGAATCTGAAGCAGGCTCCAGGCTCTGAGCTGTCAGCACAGATGCGGGGCTGGAACTCACAAACCACGAGATCAGGACCTGAGCCAGAGTCAGACACTTAGCCGACTGAGCCACCCAGGCGCCCCTCCTCTGACTACTTTCTTGACTTCCTTGCTCCCTCCTCAACGGAGCAAGTCCCCATTCTGTTCTCTTCCTTCCCTTGCTGAGGGGTGTGTTCATATGTGGGGGGTGGGGGGGGGAGCAGCATGAGTGCTTTTCAGCCAAAGCTCCTTTCTGATTCCTAGAAAAAACCCGATGAAAGTGGAGATCATCCTAAGTTTTGAAAGCTAGTAGGGAGGGTATTGAATTATTTGCAGAAAAGTAACCATTGAGTTTATTGTAAAGGTGAGACTTCTGGTAAGTGTCCCTCTAAAATCAAGCAAGCCACGTAGAGCACCTACCCAGTGCGAAAGCTGAGACAGGAAATAGAGCCATGTGCTGGGTCCGCGTCCCAGAAGCTCGGGACTCCCTCCTGGTGATGCCCTGCGCGCCGAGCGCCGCTGTAATCGCTTCTGGACTGCCTCCCGCCTCTGGAGATTTGTGGCCCAATCATAGATTCCTGTCCTGTTGTGAAACAGGAATAACATTTGTGACACTGGAACAGACTCACGATGAATGGCTGG